GGGGGGGTACTTGGTTGTATTTATATTTAAAGTGTACCAGTTGGGCCCATGAAGGTGGGAGGGGCTTTGTTATGCAAATACTGACTTGATCTAGGAAGGCGATCTGGCCCGCCTCCTCTTATTTACCACATAATGACAACTGGTCACTGAGACTGCCCGTCATAATGATAGCGGAGGACCACAGCGCTCACTTCATAGGAGAAAGCACCTTTTGCATAATAAACCTCTCCGCATTTTGAAGCTCCGGGGAACTCTAGAAGATAAACTAATGACAGACATTTCGGGGTTCTCTCATTTGCACCCTACTGACAATTTGTAACCTTGCAGGTCAGGACAGGTACATTTTAAAGTGCTAGTTTAAATAAATGTTATATTTCACCCTCTGGCTGCTTGCTTATTTCTTTCCATTGGCAAGATCTCTGTGCCCAAGTTCCCAAGTCTGCCCGGTTGCTGTTCCTGTTGTGTTTTTTTTATTTTACACGATAAAAGAATGAAGCAGAAAGAGTGAGACTCTGTGGCTGGATAAGGAAGAATAGGGAACGCCTATCCATTGCTTCTTTTTTTTCTTAGCAGGGCAGATTATTGGTGTTTTTCTATGACTTTTCTGAAACGTGTCCTCTTTGTGTTACAGACCACACAGCGGGATGGAAAGAGGGAAAGTATAACAAGCACGCTCTTCGTGTCACCCACGGATATCGAGAACGGTCAGTCCATCACATGTCGTGCCACTAATAAGGCGGTTCCAGGAGGAAAAGACACAACGGTCACCATCAACATCCAACGTAAGTTTTTCTCTATAAATTTCAGGCCAAAGCTGAGCTCCTCCGAAACCGCGAGGGACATGGGGGCCACCACATTCAGTCCCTCGCGGAAACACATAAACAAAGGGGCGGGATGCTTGTGCTGGGTTCGTTGACCTTATATGGCCACATGTCCATATGAGTAAAGTCCAATGCAGTTGACCAAATATAGACATGTGGCCATATAAGGGCAATGACATCACAGCATCCCGCCACTTTGCTTACATGCAGCTGCAAGCAGGGAATTCCCGGGACGGAGCTGATTTGGGTGCCAACAGAAAGTGTTCCCTTCCGTGTTTGTTCCGAACCTGAGTTCATCCCTACTACATAGTTGTTGGCAGATATAAGAGCCCATTCACACCAGGGTGGTTGCGGATCAGCGCGGTTACCGGGCTTATCTGAAAAGGGAGGTTTTGGCAGTTTTGCATTGCGTTTCAGCAGTGAAACGCAATTAAAAACGCCCAAAAACTGCGCTGGCCAGCGCAGCAAAAATAGCCCAGGGAGCAGTTCGGGCAGGGGGGTGGTTTGGATCTAGCGCGGTCGCGTGAACGTCCCCATAGCAATGTATGGGATCGTTCATGTTGGCGGATCCGTGCGGCCGAAACTGCTGCGGTGTGAACGGGGTCTAAAGGAGATTGTACAGTCAAATTTTAATAGGATGGACGGATTTATCAGCAAAATGTACAGTGGGGGAAATGTCTATACATTGGTCTTTTACCTCATCAGATTCACAGAATTACTTTCGCTTTAGTTGCAGTTTAGGAAACACGAGAGGACAGCAGGGGCGTCCCGAGGCTGGGTGACACCCGGAGCGGTAACCGAGTGTCACCCCGCCGAGACGTCGCTGCGCATGCGCGTGACGTCACCACGCGCGTGAGCGATTATGTCATCGCGCGGCAGTATTCTGATACCTGCCGGTGATGTATCGAAAGTGCTAACTTATCGAGTTGTGGGACCGCATGACTTCCGGTTTCCTCAGAACTACGATGTTTGCACACAAAACATGTTGTGCACGAGCGGCATCCATGGCATTGCCCTATACACATAGACCACAGCAATACAGTTATAAAATGATGTAGGATGACAGTAAGCCAGCGCGTTCTTTATCTCCGGTGCCCCACTCAATATGGCCGCCGCTTGAGTTGGGCACCTGAGATAAAGAACGTGCTGGCTTACTGTCATCCTAGATCATTTTATAACTTTATTGCTGTGGTCTATGTGTACAGTATAGGGCAATGCCGTGGATGGCGCTCGTGCACAACATGTTTTGTGTGCAAACATCGTAGTTCTGAGGAAACCGGAAGTCATGCGGTCCCACAACTCGATAAGTTCGTACTTTTGATCGATCACCGGCAGCCATCTTAGTGATGGACGCCAGCAGAGAGAGGAGGGGACAGTCACCCGGCGGGATAAGG